TTCACCTCCCCTGCAACTGAGAGAAACCAGGTTTCCTGGCCTGTGGAAACCTCTTCCAGTCCCTCATGGAGCACCAGCAGGGACCAGTGGGAGCCCAAGCCATACCAGATAAACCAAGGAGACCAAAATAACATGACAAAGCTTCTGAAAATTAAGCTACCATGGGAACCACAGTTCACAAAAATAGACCAAGATCTATGTGTTAAACCTAAACAGTGTGACTGCCTGCTAAACTGAAAGACTTAAATAGGACCCAGTATCTCCTACCATGATGGACAGAATATCCAGAGCAGCATTTAAAAAAATCACCCAGAACACCAAGAACTAAGAAAATCACACTTTGAAAGGGAAAAAAACAATTAGCTGACACTAATACTGAGGTGAATCAGATGTTGGAATTATCTAAGAAATATTTTAAAGCATCCATTATAACAGTGGTTCAACAACCAATTAGTAATTCTCTTGAAATAAATTAAAAAGTAGAAAATCTCTGGGCTGGCTCCGTGGCTGAGTGGTTAAGTTCATGCACTCCGCTGCAGGCGGCCCAGTGTTTCGTTGGTTTGAATCCTGGGCGCAGACATGGCACTGCTCATCAAACCACGCTGAGGCAGTGTCCCACATGCCACAACTAGAAGGACCCACAACGAAGAATATACAACTATGTACTGGGGGGCTTTGGGGAGAAAAAGGAAAAAAACAAAAAAAAGTAGAAAATCTCTGTAAAGAAATAGATTTTATAAGAAAAATAAACAGAATTACAGAACTGAAAAATACAATAACAGAAATAAAAAACTTAATAGATTGGCTCAATAGTAGCATGAAGATGACAAAGGAGAAAATCAGTGAACTTGAGTACAGAACAATAGAATTCACAGAATCTGAACAACAGAGAGAAAAAAACAGAATGAAAAATAATAAACAGAGCCTCAGGGACCTGTGACACAGTAACAAAAGAGTCATCATTCATGTCATCACAATCTCAGAAGGAAAGTAGAAAAGAGTAGGGCTGAAAAGTTGTTTGAAGAAGCACTGGCTGAAAATGTTCTGAATTTGGTAAAAGACACAAACCTACAGTTCCAAGAAGCTGAGTGAATGCTAAACAGGGTAAACACAAAGAAATCCATCTGAAAGATACATCACAATTAAAAAGTTTGAAAACTAAAGACAAAGAAAAAAATCTTGAAAGCAGCTAGAAGGAAATGACATATTATTTATAGGGGAATGCCAATTCAAATGACAATGGAGTTCTCATCTAAAGTCATGGAAACCAGAAGGAATTGGCACAATATTTTTCAAAAGCTGAAAGAAAAGAACTGTCAGTCACAAATTCTGTATCCTGTGAATTCATCCTTTAGGAATGAAAGAGAAAAAAAGACATTCTCAGAGGAAGAAAAGCTAAAAGAATTTGTTACTAACGGACACATTCTTATTTATTTATTTATTTCTGGGAAAGATTCACCCTGAACTAACATCTGTTGCCAGTCTTCCTCTCTCTTTTTTTTTCTTCCAAAAGTCCCACTACATAGTTCCATATTCTAATTGTAAGTCCTTCTAGTTCTTCTACGTGAGCTGCCACCACAGCATGGCTGCTGACAGACGAGTGGTGTGGTTCCATGCCTGGGAACCGAACCCAGGCCGCCAGAGTGGAGCATGCTGAACTTCAACTACTAGGCCATCAGGACTGGCTCGACATAATCTTTTTAAAATTTTAGTAATATATTTCCTTTAACCTAATTTATAAATAATGTTATATTTCGGCCTGTAATAAATATAAAAACATTAAAAAGAAATAAAATCCCTTACTCTTAAAGATTTGCCAAACAAAACTCTTCAGACAGAAGGGAATTGATAAAAGAAGGAATGATGGAGCATTGGGAAGGAAGAAGGAATAATGCAAAGGGCAGAAATATGAGTTCATACAAAGGACTATTCTTTTCCTCATGAGTTTTAAAACCATATTTGATGATTGGAACAAAAATCTAGCACCACCTGATTCCCATGACAATGGTATTTAAAAATGGGGAAAACAAAGACCTAAATGAGAGTGAGGTTTCCACACTTCACCCGAAGTGGTAAAATGTTGATCCCAGTAGACTATATAATTCATTGATAGATAGATAGATAGATATAGTAACACTCAGAACAATCGCTACCAAAAATATACAGAGATACAGATAGATAAATATACAATCAAGATGAAATCCTAAAATGTGTTCGAATATTGAGAAGGAAGGCAAGAAAAGAGAAACAGAGAAATGAGACTGGTGGAAACAAATGGAAGAATAATAAATGACAACCTTAAGTGCTAACATATCAATATTTACCTTAAATATAAACGGTCTCAATATACCAATAAAAAGTGGATTAAAAGATGTCACCCAGCTATAAACTGCGTACAAAAAACTTACTTCAAATTCAATGACATATGTCTGTTGAAAGTAAAAGGATAAAAATAGAAGATTGCCCTCACCAATGTGGGCAGACATCATCCAATTCATTGAGGGCCCATAGAGAACAAAAAATGTGGAGGAAGGGTGAATTCTCTCTCTGTCCTTGAGCTGGGACATCTGTCTTCTCCTGCCCTTGGACATTGGAGCTCTTGGTTCTTAGGCCTTTAGATTTAGGTTCCAAGACTTACACCAGTACCGCTCCCCACCTTGTAGGTCTTTGGCTTTGGACAGGGAGCTATATCATGGCTCCTCTGGTTCTCAGGCCTTTGCATTTGGACTGATTTATAGCACCGGCCTCCCTGGTTTTCCAGTTTGCCGATGGCATATTGCACCATATCTCTCAGCTGCTATAACCACATATGCCAATTCCCATAATAATAAATCTCCTCCTATATATCTATATCCTATCAGTTCTATTCTCTGGAGAACTCTGACTAATACCCTTTTAAGGATAAGGACAATCTTATTTATTTCTAAATTGCTGTGCCTAATACCTAGGAGGTGCTAAATAGATTTTTATGAAAGGAAAGATGGGAGGGAGAAAAGAAGGGAAAAATGGTGATGACATTTTGCATTAATGGGAACTCTGAACATATGGATCTTTTGAAGATATTACTTTCATGTGGTCTACACTAGAACCCAGGAATAGGGGTGTTGTGCCACCTGGATGGTTAATAGACTAACGAGCTGGAGTTGAGAGAAAATCCTGTGAGCTAATTTGTGATTTTGAAGTCAATGAAGATAAGAGGTTTACTTACAGAGAGGAGTTGTCTAAGTTTCTGACCCTGACAGATTTAGTTTATCCTAACATAAAGATAAAAATCCCCCCCGGGAAGGGAAAACTCATTCATTCACTGGAGCTCTTTATTCACTGTTGGAGTCGAAAATGCAGATCTGAAATTCACAAAAAGGAACAGTTAAGAAAGGAGAGAGTTCAAGAATCAAAGGGCAAAATAAAGCATGCCTGGGGAGGGATTCAGAGTGCCCAGACTCATTCTACTCCAATTTTCTACCCAATCTCTACAGTGAAAATTTTATCGTCTTTAATTCTCCTCTCGTCTTTTTTTTTTTTTAAAGATTGCCACCTGAGCTAACAACTGTTGCCAATCTTCTTTTTTTTCTGCCCAAATTCCCCCCAGTACATAGTTGTATATTTTAGTTGTGGATCCTTCTAGTTGTGGCACGTGGGATGCCACCTCAGCATGGCCTGATGAGTGGTGCCATGTCCGCGCCCAGGATCCGAACTGGTGAAACCTTGGTCTGCCAAAGCAGAGCACGCGAACTTAACCACTTGGCCACGGGGCTGGCCCCTCACCTCGCTTCTTTATTGTCTAAGCTGAAGAAGGGTAAGTTGAAACCTTAGGTCTCATCTCCATGATGGACTCCTCTCCATAAAAGTGTCTTTGTGTTGAATATGGTTACCTTTTCTCTAATTGATAAAATCTTTCTTTTTCTTCAGAGGTCTACTTTACCAACTTCACCTGTAATTTCTAATGAAGAACCCATTGTTCTTTCCTATATACATATTATAATTTACATTAGTGGTATAAAAATTACCATTTATTATAATCAGCTGTGTCATATATTTTCCCCTAGTCGTTTGGTCTCAGATTTAGCTTTGGATGTATGTATGTATGTATGTATGTATGTATGCATATCTACCCAGGCTCTGGGTTTACCTCTAGTATCTACCGTTCTACAAATGTTGAATAAGAAAACTTCTACAATTTTATCCCTTGTGCCATTCATTCTTCTAGGGTTTGTCTCTACTGTTAAAATTCCCCCCACCAAGGGGAAGATTGGGAAAAAGGGAGAGAGAGAGAGACTTCTTATTTTTATACAACAATTTAATTCATCTTAAGCTTCCTCTGTCTCCACTTCAGTCATTTATTACTAGAAAGCTATTGCACAGAGTGGTTAAATAATAAGGCTCTGAAACAGACCTGGTTTGGAGTCCTGGCCTTGTCAATGACAAGTTCTAGGCCATATAAAAGATCTCATTACCCTTCTAAGCCTGGTTTTTTCCATCTATAAAATGAGAATTATCATTGTTTCATGAGTTGTGAGTGCTCAGTTCATGCATGATAAATACTCAGCACAAAGCTGAGCATAACAGTCTGCGTAATCAATGGTAGCTGTAAACACCATCTGTAAACACCATTTTAAAATGCATTATATTTATTAAAGAAGCAGAAAGAAAATTTTTAAAGGAAGCATATTTTGACATGTAGTAGCATATGAGTAAATTTAATTTCAGCATTATCTTTCATAAAGCGTATTCTAATAATACTCATATATATCTAGTAAGCTTGTAATGATGATTTTGATAAGAGGAGTGATTTTTACATTTTTTTCAACGTGTAGGAGGTCTCTGGTAAGCTTACTAATATTTATTTTACAAAATTAAGTGAATCCAAAGCAGGCGCAAGAGTTTCCAGTTTCGAATTTTGAGCCTGAATGAATAAGCTTTAATGTCAGTCTCATTTTAAAAAGTTCTTATTATACAAAGTTGACAACCTGAGTTATCGAAGAAAAAAAAGCAAAGCTTACTGTGGTTAACAAGTTGTTTTTACTATTTTCTATAGTATCTAAAACGTAGAATATATTGTAAACACTTTGTTAAAAATAATTATTTACATAGTTTTTGGAAAGTTAGTGGCAAACATGGTTTACAAGTAAAAGACACAATTTTCAAACTAAAATCAGTCCGTGGTCTTCACGAAATTTACAGAAGCAAGAGAAGATTTCGTTTAAATATCTGAAGCAGTTTCCACATTAAAGCATTTCCAAGAAATAGAAAGGGGAGAAGCTTAGATAAAGCACCAGCTGTCACCATGTCACCCAGTTAACACTGATTCCTCACTGGTCCCCATTGCTTGATGGAGAACAGGAGGAGAAAGAGAAGGAACACTTAGAGAGAGAAACAGAACCCTGAAATTACATTTGCTTAGGGGATCCCCCAAAGGCATCTTGGTCAGTTGATACAATTCCGAGGAGCAGAAATAGATTACAATAGTTAAGGCTCAAGATCATGCATGCATAACAAAACACAATTACTGAATTTAAGTGATATTGAATGTCATACAACATAGTTAAAACTTGTCATTTAAGTCAACAGTATACATATTTTCTTTATGAACCCCTTAGAACTTTGTAGGCACATTGAAATCAATCTTCTTACAAATGAGATAAATATCAGAATCTCAAACTACATGGGTGTAAGGGACTGCATTTTTATGACTATGTCAGAAAAACACTACTTGTGCCTATCTTTTAAAAATAATTTCAACAGTGAAAATTAATGTTTAGGATTTTAAAGTTTTCAAACATAAAACAATTTACAGAGTAATTATGGATGTGATGAGATTAAAAACAACAAAAATACTTGGAAAGATAAATGAGAAAGTGACAACTAACTTGCATACGCAAATGTTGTACACCACCACCAACAACAAACTTACACTTTGATCTCCTAATTCAGAGTCCTCACAGTTTGAGCAATCATTTTCTTTCTCTAAGTTATAAAGAGTCATAAAGTGCAATGAAAAGTACTTCAAAGTGGCCAGTTTCCAACTAGGGATCAAGACACTGTGAAAATCCCTAGACAAAATGGTAGCCCTTGACTTTTCTAGTTCTTATTTATGACATGTCTTTGCCAGCTCTTACATACTCAATGTTACATTATGGATAAATGGTAAAAAATACGCCAGTTTTATGCTAAAGTAAGACTCGAGTCTATTGTAATATTCTCTGTTATATCATTTTAGTAAATGTATGCTTTTTAAAAAAGTGTACATGAAAAAAATTAGGAAAAGGTCGGCAATAACTGTAGTTCCCCTTGTGCTTCTTGTTCTGTGAATGCATTCTGTTAAAGAGCTGGAGATTGGGGGGAACTAACCAGAGAGATGAGAGACCAGGAATCTGAGAACTAGGAAACATTAGCTCCTAGTACCAAAAATAAATGAAAACAAAAACCAAGATGGGGCTACAATCAATCTTTTTCAAACGTGGTTTGAATCAGCCCAAGAGTCTCTGTAATGGATCTCAAAGGCACTCCCAGAATCGCCCTTCCTCTTCCTCCAGTTGGCATCTGTCTAGGCAAGTTTATGATTTAATGGCCTGTAGCATTGTGCTGTTTTTTTTCTAACACGACCCCACATTAAGACAGTGGTCGTTTATTTGTAACTAAGTTGAAGTAGACATAAGCTATATGAAGAAGCCCTTGCAACTAATCTCTACTACCATCTCCCCCATCCTCCAGAAGAAGCACACACCATAGAAGCCGTATAGGGAAAACAAGCGTTGGATTATCAAAAGGGAATTTTAACCCACTTTAACTCTGCAGTGATATTAAGGGGTTGTCTTGGTTAGACTGAATATATAGGGGTAAAAAGTGAATTTGACTTGGAGTCTTGAGAACAAAGCTTAAATTCCCCGGGTTGTAAACAATTGAATATTAAGTGAAATCTTTACTTTCTCTGATCTTTGCTTTTATTTCTGATTTAAACTTCTCATGTTTTGGGGAAATGTGAAGAAGGTGAAAAGGTAGGAAGTGGGATTAGATCTGGCTTTGAATAGCTGACTTTCCCTCAGCCTTGTCAAAATAGGCATCTTCTTTGGTAGCTTGAACTTCCCTGTTACCGTCTATCATATGAATATCTGATGTAGTTTTGTCATTTTGCCTCAAACGGTAACTTTTATAAGCACGCTGAATGATGGTTGCTGAGACTGCCTCTTGTTTTCGTTTCAGAGTAGTTGTAATTGGTTCATATGTGATCTTAAAAGGGTTGGCTAACAGAAACCCTGATTCCATCTCTGAAAGAACTTTCTCCACCCTCTCATCTGTACCCATAACTCGCTTTGCTAAAGCAAGTAAGATGTCAAGGCAATGAATTCTGTCCCCAACAGCCATGGGAAGATCCATGGCAATGAGCTGGCTCTTGTTTGGTTTTGCCATGAAAAGAGGAGGATCAAGAGCAGCTGCCAAATCTGAAAGCTTGCTGGAGTCTATGTACTGGGTCATTTCAGGATCAAACCTCTTCCATACCTGAAAGAATTTCCTAAAATCATCTTCACTCAACGTCTTGGCCTTTTTTTTAGAAGCAATATTTAAAAACTCCATGACAACAACAATGTACATGTTTACAATGATCAGCCACGATATGAGGATGTAACTGACAAAATAAATAATCCCAACAAAGGGGTTACCACAATCTCCTCTAACCTGAGTCCCAGGGTTAATTTTATCAGGATCACAGTCAGACCATTTACTGTTGAAAATTGCATTGAGCATCCCATCCCAACCAGCAAATATCGTAACTTGAAAAAGACAGAGCATACTGCTGCCAAAGGTTTCAAAGTTGGACACATCATTAATTCCAGCTTCCTTTTTAACATAGGCAAAATTGTACATCCCAAAGATGGCATAGATAAACATGACCAGGAAGATGAGAAGACCAATGTTCAACAATGCTGGGAGAGACAGCATCAAAGGAAGCAGCAGATCATTGAACACCTTTGGTCCTTTCCCAGGATGCAGGATGTGGATGATCCTTGAGAGAAGTATCAGTTGCACAAGGGAAGGAGGCACAAGGTAGGGTCCTACCATCAGAGGCAGAAGTAGTCCTTGGTGTAGGAAAAGATAAAGCAGGCAATAAAATTATTCAAATATGATTGTACTCAGCAGAACATAAGTTATTTACATTTCATTTTTTCTATATATTAAGATCATTTATTAATCCTTCTCACATAACAGTTAGCACATATTGAAAGTTTGGGTTACCCAAATACTAACTGTGGAAATGCTCAAAGTATCTAGCCAAATTTGGAAGAGAATTCTTTGTATTATCATCTTAAGAGTACTATAGATCAAGCACTTCTGGAATCACAGATGGCATGAATCCATAATATAAGACAGCAGTCATACCTTTTTCTGATTGCATTTGGACCGAGAAATTTAGTTCAGTCCAACCTTTATTGGATACCTAATAAAGGTGTTATACAAATATGTAAAGATGAATGACATGACTTCTGTCCTTGAAGACTTTATAATCTAGAGAGTAGAGGTAGACATTTAAACTAATTATAATGCAAGGCAGAAAGTCCTACTTGGTAAATATAATTACAAAATATCTGACATTTGGTGATTCACAGATTATAATTTAATTAATTAATTTCATAAATAGTATTTGGGTCCTTAGGAGCTTTACATATGAATTGAGTAAATGAATCTTTGCCTAGAACTTTTTTCTGGTGGTGGTGGGTAGATGAAAGAAGTATGGTAGTGAGAGCTATAACTATAAAACAAGGTGAAATTATACTCCCTTTTTTTTTTTTTGAGGAAGATTAGCCCTGAGCTAACGTCTGCTGCCAATCCTCCTCTTTTTGCTGAGGAAGACTGGCCCTGAGCTAACATTTGTGCCCGTCTTTCTCTACTTTATATGTGGGACGCCTGCCACAGCATGGCTTGACCAAGTGGTGCCATGTCCCCACTGTTGAACCCCGGGCTGCCGAAGCAGAACGTGAGCACTTAACAGCTGCGCCACCGGGCTGGCCCCAAGGTGAAATTATAATTACCCTCAAAAGCATAAAGGATGTTCTGTAGAAGTACTGGAGAGAGTGTGGTTCATTTTGAGTTGAGAAGGTGGGGCAGGGGAGAATCCCAGGAAGCTTCTAAATAAGATGGTATGTTTGCTGAATAAGGAAGGCTCATGTCTCATCTGTTAAACTTGGTCACGGCCAATGGCAGCATTTTCTCTGATATTCTATCTTGGCTGTACCCTAATCTCCACAGTGCTTTAGTGAACCTTCTGCTCTTACTCAAATTTTTATTTCTCCTCCTCTTCCAAACTCTTCTGTTATGCAGGATGTATCGCCATTTAATTGTAAGCAAATTTTTCTACATCCTCATCACTAAATTTTCTTCACCTCTTTTCTTATCTAAAATCTAACTCTATCTTGAGGACACTATTTCCTTTGCAACACTCTCGAGTACAGACAGCTTATTCTTCCCCACTCCATATTTCTCAGGGTAGAAGGATGGAATAAGCAAGCATCTGTCTTTCTCTCCAATGTGATTTCAGACACTTTTCCTTCCCATCATTTTTACAAGGAAAGAAAGGAGGTTTCTGACACTGCGGATCATGCCATTCAACGATGCCATCTCCCACCATTCCTTGGTTCTATGATTTATTCATTCCCCCTCATTCATATTCATTGGAGACTTTAGCACTTGGCTCACTGCCACCCTTTCCATCCCAGCATCTACCATCAACCACCCATTCAAAGGCCAGTCTCTCAGTCATTCATCATTTTACTTTGCTTATAGACATCTATGGCCACATTCCAAACACAGGATATCTGACCCTCTGAGTTCTCAAATTCAAACAACTTTCTCTCTGACTGCAATTTCCTCTCCTTCCAGATCTGTGATTCAGCAACTCTTCCTTCAGTCTCATAGGGATCTTTAATTCCATATCCCTCTGCTTTCTTCTCAGGCGGCCTCTTCTGTCTTTCAGTCAAGCTTCTTGTACTTGTCTATAATAGTTGTGCTGCTTCCACTACCAACTGAATGAGTGAATTTTCTGGACGCACATTGGGCAGTTTATCTGCATTTTTCACTACTGACTACATAGAATAGAACTTGACAAGAAACACTTAAATATTGTCCCTACTCTCATAAAGCTTATATACTAGTTTGTGTCTTACGGGAGGCAGACAATAAACAAACCTTTCTCTGCCTAAAATACTTTTATCCTAGATTCTTTCTTGGCTACCTCCTATCTAATAAGTCTCTATTTAGATTTTTGCTTCTTCCATGAAGTTTTCTCTGACCTCGACTTACTGATCAGGTGCTCCTCACTTTGTTGTGCTGCTGTAGCATCTCGTGTTTCTTCTCTTATCATAACCTTAACAGCATCGCATTAAAATATACTATTTAATTATCTGTATCCCTTCATAGATTATATACTGTGTGCATATAGGAATTATGCCTACCTTGTTTACTACTGAATTCTTTGAATGTAGCATAGTATCTATTCACAAAGAGGATAATCAAATACATTTGTTAAATAAAAGACTGAGATCTCCAGAGTAGGAGAATACTAGAGACAAATTCATTAAAGTCTAAAACTCTAGTGTTGTGAAAGTTGTAAAAAGTTTTAGAGATTAGAGGAAAAGGAACAATAGTGACCTTGAAAGAGTATATCAACCTAAGACATAAAGATCCTTCGAGCGTCATCCTAGAAAAATAAAGTATGTGATATACTGAAGGGGTAATTAAGCCTTTACCTGGTGGTCTGTGAAGTAAAGTCTATGTATTAATTCAAGAAGTATTTCTGAATATCTTGTATCTATCAGGCACGTGTACATGGATGTATGCAAAAATGTAAGGTATTCTGTTTGGAAATAAAAAGTCCATACTTGCTTTGCTCATTAAGAGACTATATCTCAGAAGACATTTACTGTAAGGGCTTGCCTGAATTAAAGTTATTACAAATGAAAATCTGACTAAACAAAATCTTACCTGTAATAGAGAAAACAACCACCATAAAATCAAAAATGTTCCATCCGACGGTGAAATAGTTACAGTGGAAAGAGATGAGCTTCAGTATACATTCTCCAGTGTATAGCATAACAAAAACTGCATTAATCCAGTGGAGAGCAGTGTCCATTTTTGGACTCTGTTCGTCACTTTCTATCATAATTGTTATCGCTTGGAAACAGATAAGCACCATAATGATGATATTAAAAACTTGATTTGTCACCAAGTCAAAGATGAATCCTTGGAACTTGTTCTGTGGGTCAATAAAAAAGATGTAATAGTCTTATTAATAGGATATAAATACACACACATAGTGTTTAGCCTTACAACTTCCCTCCCAGCCTAAATAGGAGAATAAGTGAGGGCCTATGTTTTTACCAAACTATAATTATAGCATATAGTCAAAAAAAAACACAAACCAAAAAGAAAATCAAAAGCTTTGTTAGGGAAAGTATTTTAAAAATTTTGTCAAAAGTATTTGTTAAGAATTTTAAAAACACATTTTTATTTTTAAAAGAGGATACATAAAGGAAAGTTTTTTAGAGGCCTCAAAACAGTCTAGATGTTTTCTTACTCCTGGGCGAGGTACTGGTTTTCGCGAGTCCTCAGACATCAGCCTCTTCAGTGCATGGTGTTGTTTCTTCTGTTTTACTGTTATAAAGAGATTTGAGCCTCCCTGGTAAAGAAATGAGAGAAAAAGATATTAAAATCACATTTAATCCAAATTTCATCTAAAATTAATATGTATTTTACAAAGCTTGGCAATTATTGACGATCCTTTTAAAAAGGCTTAACTGCAATGAACTAAATCATGTTTAAACATGTCTGATTTTCTGTACAAAAATCTATATAAAACACATGCAGAATATACCCTGGTAATGGTTGATATGCACTTATCTTTTGGTGCACTTTCCTCTGTGTAGTCAACCCTATTTTCCAGTCTTCTGAGGACTACCTTTTATTAGACAGAGACAAAGGAGAAACAGCAAGGGATATCTGGAAAGGTTTACTAAGAGAGACTGAACTCAAAAGCTAAAGGTAACATTGGTTTGTAACTTTTAACAAGCTGGAAAAAAAGAGTTGGTCATATGTGTGTTTTTATATGTTCACTACTACTTAAGTTTCCAAATACCATCAGAAGATATTTTTTACTATTATTCCAAGAGCCCCTGGGCTTACTTCTTCATAGCACCTTCTAGGGCTTATTCTTCTCTGTGTTTCTAGTGTGAATTTCAGTACCTTACACAAAATATACAAAGTGAATAAGAAGTGAACATTTAATGATGTGTTAATCTAAGAATTAGGACTTGTTACTGCTCTAAATCAGGACTTAGTCACTTAAAATTGACAGGGCTCATCAATTTGAAGCTGAGAAGCAAATCCTGGGATGTTATCCCCTCAGGTTAAAGTCCCAGGAAGCTGAAGCATCCAAGGAAATGCATATTTGATCACTGATCTCTCTAATCTCATCTGATAGTAGAGACTTGATGTGGTTTATCAGATTCTGCACATGGTTAAACTTTGATGACATGGCTAAAGATGGAATTTCAAAGTTAAACTATTTTTTTCTTTGATTTTTTTTAGAAGGCTTTCCTTCTCCTAATAGAAAGTAGGTCTCTATGATTAAAATAAGTGGACTTCTATGACCTTTGAGCCCTTTACATTTGTAGAAGCCCAGAAGGGAGTCTTTGTGTGGAGATGGCACCAAACAGAGGTTGTTCAATTCTGCCTCTGAATTCTCTCCTGTTCCTTCCAAGCACGCCTATTTAGGCCATCCAATTAGGATTTATGGCTCTCTCTACTTCTAGCAGAAAAACCTGCTCCAATTGACCAAGATGTCAATGCTGGTTATGACTCTGAAGGCTTTGAATATATCAAAGAATAAAAAAGTATGGTTTGTTTTTCTTGCACTTCTTCACATACTTGTGCAGATGCATCAAATATTATTTATTTTTCAGCACGTCATTATTTATAAACATAGGCACAGAAATGTTTGTAATTTTTAACTTTTAAATTTGTGTGTATACATTTGAATATAGAAAACAATGTATAGATGAACATTTTAGCAATATTCATCAATAGACAGGAGCATCAATCGTTTTTTTTAGATAAGTACCAAGTAAAAATGACATTAAGCTGAACCCTAAACCAATTATTTGAAGCAGGATGTTTTTATCAACGTGTGTGATTTTCTCAGGCATTGATGAACAAAGATATTTATACTTATCTTTATTTTATGCTTGTTGAAATTAACAATAATAACGCCAATCAGCATACTCAGTGGAAGAAATAATCCGATGATAATGAAGCTGATAAAGTAGGAATACATGTAGATATTGCCTTCAAAATTAGGCTGCATATCTACCTAAAAGTTAAGTTAAAAAATAAACAAAATAAGGCAGAGCATGGAGGATTTTTAGGGCAGTGAAAGTACTCTGTGTGATAATATAATGATGGCTATGTGTTATTATACACTTGTCCAAACCCATAGAACGTACAACACTGAGTGAACCCTAAGGTAAACAAAGGACTTTGGGTGATAATGATGTGTCAATGTAGGTTCATCCTTGATAAAAAATTCTGGCGAGTGATGTTGATAATGGGGTAGGTTATGCATGTGAGGGGGCAGGGGGTATATGGGAAATCTCTGTATTTCCCTCTCAATTTTGTTGTAAACCTAAAACTTGTCTAAAAAAATTGTCTTTAAAAATAAAAATAAATAAAAATGTAAGAAAATAAGCAAAATATTGATTTTTTTTTAACATAAGATTTATAGAGCTATTTATGACAAGAAAATCCAACAATGCTACTCGAGGTAATGTTTCCTCTTGGCTCTCTGGTGAAGGGGTATCATTGCTTTGTTTATTTGGATTTTAAAGTTTCTTGCATTGGTTTAACTATTGTTATGAGTTGGATAATCCTTCAAATGGGCCTATGGGGCCTCAACTATTGGATATAATCCTGGAAGGATTTCATTGTCCATGAAATACTCAATCTGAAACGTATTTAATTTCTGTCTAGCATAAGCATTTGCTTTTAGTGTGTTAATTATTCAGTGATTGCTGGTGCCCTGCTCCTGAATGGCAAAAATGACTTTGCTTTCACCTTAACAATGGCTCTAAGATTATATTGTACTTACACCCATAGAATCGACTGCTGAGTTCATAATAGTGATCCATCCATTAAATGTTGCCTGCAAAAACGGCACGTATTTAATTTTTATGGAAATCTTATGCTTCATAGCAAATAACTAGTAAAACTCCATCTGTTTTTAATCCAGTAAAACGTTTGATTAGTAAGGCTGACCAGACTTCAATATATTGTGTAATTGAGATCTTTACCCTTTTCATTAATTACATTTGTGTTGTCTGTTAACAATTATTTAAAACTAGTTAGTTTAATTGTAGTTAATAACTTAAAATATTTTAAGATAGTATAAATGGAGAGAGCGATAGATGAATAGATAGATAAATGGTAAATAAATACATACTGCCCAAGTGTCATAGTTACTTGTAACTGCTATCTATGTGCTTTTTCTATGGCAGAAGTGAGACAGAAATGATTCACCTCCTCAGAGCTGCTAGATTTTGGGTGACTGAGAAGCCATTCCTCAAAGCACTAGGTAGAAACAAAACAGTTGAACCAAACCTGAGTTGAACCAAGGATTGTGATCTCAATACCTGATCAGTAATGGTGGAAATAGGTTTGGCCAGTACCTGCCATTTCCTCTGTCAGTCCTACCTGCACCTCCGCTTCCTTCTCCCAACAGAGCAGGGACTGTATTTCACTTTTGTCTCTCCAAATGAGCCTAGTATAGTATGTCTCAGAACATTTTTCTACTAACTAATAATTGCTAAAATAATTTATAACCAACTCTATTAATTGTCCACGTTTGTCCTTTATGTTCACCAACGATATGGATATAATTAAGTAAAATCAAAAGTGTACTTACTACTTGAAGCAGTGAAAGGAAACCATTTCCAACATTATCAAAGTTCAGTTTTGCATTCTCCCATGGCATGGATTCATTAAACACGAGGTTTTCACATTGGCTCTTATTCATGACTTCAGATATAGGAAACCTTTCTCCACTTGTTGGGTCGATGCATTCATAGAACGTGCCAGCAAATAAATGTACTCCTATGATGCTAAAAGCCAGCCAGATCATAAGGCAGACCAGAAACACATTCAAAGCGGGTAAAGTAGTTTTTATCAAAGTTCTCACAACCACCTGGCGTATAAAAAATAAACATGTAAACTTTAGGTAAGAAATGTGAAACTATTTTAATTAAATTGGAAATACTGATTAATGTAATGTCATTTTCAAATAATAAAAAAAGACCATCTCTATAGATTTAATAGGCTACATGCCAGTATTTGAATAACCTAAATAACAAATTTCAATTAAAAAATGCACATTAAAAATCCAGATATTCTTGGGGCTGGCCCAGTGGCATAGTAGTTAAGTTTGTGCACTCTCCTTTGGGGCCCTAGGGTTTGCAGGTTCAGATCCAGGATGTAGACTTAGGCACTCTTTATCAAGCCATGCTGTGGCAGGCATCCTACATAAAAAGTAGAGGAAGATGGGCACAGATGTTAGCTCAAGGCCAATCTTCCTCAGCAAAAAGAGGAGGATTGGCAGCCAATGTTAGCTTAGGGTTAATCTTCCTCAAAAAAAAAAAAAAAAAAATCCAGGTATTCTCAAAATTTTTGTACTAAAAAACCATTAAAAGACAACAGAGCTAATTAGTGAAAATAGTAGAATAAATAATTATTTCACTGATTTAACACGTTTATCAACTTCCTATATTGTGCCAGAAATAAGCAAGACAGCTGAACCTGTGGGTCTGTATGAGATTATCTACAAAGCATATAAAATGAGAGCAAAATAGGCCTAGCTCTACATCTTGGGGATTCCAGCTTCAGGGAGGATTAGTCTACAGTGGAGAGAGTGACGAAGCGGTGGGGGAAATAAGAGGAAGACCAAGAGATTGTAGACCAATGAAGTCGAGGCAAGAAACTGTTTCAAGAAACACTGAATGGGCAGCTGCACCTCGTAACATCACAAACCTCCTCATGAACACCTCTGTGTCACTGGTGAGCCACTCCAGAGTGGGAGTTTGGAAAATGAATCTACCACCTAAACTTGAATAACCGCAATAGTCCATAATCACTGTCTCCTTTCCTCAACTCTCGTAACTCTTTAATATTATAAGCAGAATGTTATTCTTATCACTCCAATAAAGCTGTTATGGCAAAGGTAAACCAGTTGCTATATCCAATAGAATATTTTCAATCTTTGATATTTCTTTATCTTTCTCTTAGCATTTACACTTTTGACTCCCTTCCTCCATCCTCACTTCCTCCTCTTTTTTTCCTGAGCTCCCATTGATTCTCTTTCTACCACTCTAATCTTTCCTTCCCTCAGCCATTACTGGATTCACACCCTTTTACCTGTACTTTCTTGCTTATATTCCTTATTTTTATGTCCTTGAATTAATATTTTGACTTTTAATTGTGCTTTCAATAACACTTGATTTTATTTCTAAAACTAGGTCACAGATCCTTTGTTGACATTGTAGATATTTGAGAGAGCCACTCGTGTCTCTGATGAAAAATGCTATGCCTCCTAGAAAATACACCTATGTAAGAATAAAAGCAATAGGTATGGTTGACACAAATACTTCAGCAGTAAGAGCACCCAAGACATGAAGCTTATTAAATACATAAAACATTAATTTTGTAACCATGTAGCTTCGTTATATACTCAATAAGATATCTCCAGGGATCATTCAACTACAGAACTTCCAGAGGGTGAGATGAAGCTTAAGATCTGGATCTGACCTTGACCTAACCATGGCTATCATCCTGTTGCTGTTCTAATGAAAGTATGGCACCAGATGGTACAGCGCTTCATTTCTGACAAACAGAAGCAGCTTCCCTAGCAAATCTCTTCCAACTTTTCTCTAAATTGGAGGCAGACAATTTGCTATTTGGGCAACCCTCCCATGTATATAAATTAAGAAAAAACCCTTAGTATTATCCCATGTTTTTTACAATAAAGAAGAATTTATTTTAGTTACATTCATTATCTAGTTTATACCTGTGTATGTGCATGTGTGTCTCCCAGCTTTATTGAGGTATAAATGACAAAAAAATTGTACATATTTAAGGTGTACAATATGATAATTTGATATATGTATACATTGTGAAATGATTACCACCATCAAGCTAATTAATACATCCATTATCTCACTTAGTTACCTTTTGTTATGGTGGTGGTGAAAACACTTATGATCTACTGTCTTAGAAAATTTCAAGTATACAATACAGTATCAAAACTACAGTTACTATGCTGTGCATTATTTTCTGAGAACTTATTCATCTTATAAATGAAAGTTCGTACCCTTTGACCAACATCTCCCTATCCCCACCCCCACGCCAGCCCCTGTGCTTTGAGTTAACAGGCCATGTGTAGTTTATATAGCCCTAGAATATTCTATGAAATTTTCCTATCACTAATATGTATTTGTTTTGGAAATTTGGTTGTCTTGTCATTTTAACCTCAATCTTACAGACCTCTTCAACCACTTTCTCCTTTTCAGCTTTTTTACTCCTTATTTTGGTTTAAGATCAAAGCAGTGGGGATATTACCACCTTGTGGACCTCCATGATGTTGTTAATAAAATGTTTCATAAGTTATAATAATTACAATTAATATTTTAGATCTTTGTATTCTGGGTGTATGATAATTGGAATTTTGCTGTATTTGCTACATAATAAAATATTTCTTGCCTAACACCAGCAAATCGAATGCATTTGGAGAATAGGTTAATCAGGCCTAAATCCTGTTATAATGAGTCAATCACAGATTCATATGAATTATACAAACATTATTATTAATCATATGCTTGCATACATATTAAAAGTAATTAATCTACTTAATACATGTTCTTATGTATGTATATATGTATACACATCTATCATATAAAGCTGATACTATTAAAATTCCTGAAATTTGCTTTTGGTTAAATACATATTTTAAATTACTTACATTTCTGTTTGGATTTATAATGATCACTCAAATTTTGAGATAAAAACAAGTGTCCGTTTTTTAACCAAGTGGAAAGAATTTGTGTTATGGTTTCTTAATGAATGGCAGTTTAAATGTAACATATCATGTATAAACTATAAAAATAATACAGTTTAAACACAAATAATTTTTTTATTGGATCCTATCTACATTGAATATGTGATATTCCATGATATATCAAATAGGTAGGCTAATGTTAGATAACCTAGGTAAATTAAAAATGTAAGAAAACATAAGTGGAAGATTATGAAATAAAAGATAAAATTAGACTATTTCTGCATGTAATTGGTAACTGAATATTTTCATACTTACTTGTGGTGGTCATAGACTCTGTTTTTTCTATTAAGTTGAGCCATATGGGATTTCCATTATAGGCCCAAAAGACTAAACATTCACCATTTTATGTGGTTCAACCTGTTGGTTTCCCTCACATTGTTCAGAAGAGGTTTTAACATGGAAGTGAGGGTAAGAATTCATAATTTGTGATGTGTGACTTTAAAAAAAGTAAATTTACTTTAAAATTCAAGCTGTTATTTCATTCGGTGAATAACTACTTAGTATGTACAATGTTCTTATAATTTTAAAAGTTAGCTAACTGATCAAAGTTTCATTTTCTGTCAGTTATATTTTTAGCATTGAGATAATTTCATTAATACTTAGACATATCCAAGTGGGTTAGAATGGTATTACTTTTGGAGACTATATTTTCTCTGTCAACTATTGGGTTATTTTTGCTTATCTTTATTAGTTTTCATATCTTATGAGTAATAAAGACCTAAAATCTTACTAAGTATAGCTAATATACCTTTTGTCTATACTTTTATGTAGTAGAATATAAGGTTTTGTATTTGTTAAAGATACAAATGAGAAGACTACAAAGCTTTTAATTTGTGGAAATTTAGTAATCCGAAATAAAAACCTATAAATTAGTTTAGAAACTTTTCTCTTACCTTCATTCTTTCAAACTGAGATAGAACTCTGAGTGCCCGAAGGAATTTAATGGAAATAAGTGGTTTTAGTTCTTCTCGAGATTTGCCTATTAAGCTAAGACAAAACACCTAGATATATTTAAAAAAAAAAAGAGCAAATAGGATTTAATTTTAACTTTAATCAAAACAATTTGTAAAATGAACTTGGCATTTGTTACACAAAAGATGCACAAAGTCTGCCAAGAATTATGCAAAAAATTTAATATATATTTCAATATATCTTAACAATGACTTACAGAAAGGTATAAGAAAATCAGTTTGTTCTCAAATCACTTAAAAAAGATAAAAATATTTTCTGGTAATACGGATGTATGTTATTGAAATAATCAAAAATTTGTATATTTGACATTATGATAAAGGATTAATATTTATATCCATGTTTTAATTTGATTAGATTAAGAATCAATTTCATGATTATTTGCAATATAGTAATAATACACAGTGTTTTCATTAAAACAAAATTAGAATACATTTATATATTCATTCATCTATAAATACGGTTAAGACAATATACAGAATGGGATTTCAAAAGAGAGGCATCAAGGAGGATATGAATATTGTTAAATTCTAGTACAAATTACATAAAAGTATGGGAAGACACTAAGGTTATTTTTTAAAGCAATCATATATGCATAAAAATGATTCAAGTTTAATGGAGATTGAGCAAGTGGTAGAGTTACGGTTAACTTTTATTGTATCTTCATATTTTCTGTATTTTCAAGGCAACGTCAATATAAAATTTATTCTTGTTACCCTAAAGAGATGCTCTTGAACTGGACTTTGAGTAAGGGTATCAATTATGTCAGCATGGAGGGATGTGGACACATAAGAGCAATGAGCAGGAAACAGGAAAGTGGATTGCAGGTGGAGCATGGTTTGGTTGGAGTAGAAGATTAAATTGCAAGTATTAATTTAGAAGCAGAGGTCAGATACTGTAAGTCATTATTTACAGACTGAGAAGCTTCAATCATTGCTTATTGAATAGGGAGCCATTTGTTCATTTGACAAAAATTATTGAGCACCTACTATGTGACAAAGATTGCTCTAGGCACAGGGCAAAATGAGGGAACCAAGCCAAGAAAAAATTCTGCCGTAATGGAGCTTATCTTTTAGTGGAGAAGACAGACAATAAGCAAAATAAATGGGTAAATTATATAATATTAACAGGTGCAATGGAGATGAGGAAAGCAGAGAAACGAAAAGGGAGTACTGGAGTGGCTGCAGTTTTGAATAGGGTAGTGCAGAAGGACTTAACTTCAACAGTTTCATTTAAACAGACATAAATGAGGTGAGCCAGGCAAAGTTCCAGTTGGAAGGAAGAATACGTGCAAAGGCACTAAGATGGAAGTAATCTTGGTGTGTTTGCCGAGTTTCAAGGTGTCCAGTGCTGGTGGAGCAGTTTATGGACCAGGATGGGGGAAAGGGAGAGCAGTAGGGGATAAGACTGGATCATGTAGAGACTGGTAGGCCTTTGATTGCAAAGACTAGCTTTTACTCCGAGTGAGATGGGGTGTTTATTGGAGGGTTTCAAGAAGAGAAGGGATTGGGCCGACTTCTATTTTACAATAGTAACTCCAGTTGCTCTGAGGAGAACAGAGTGAAGGTGTGCAGTGTTGGAAGCAGGGACATTGGTTTGGAATCTATTGCAATGATCCAAATGAGAATTTTTGGTAGCTTGGCTCAGTGTGGTACTAGTGAAGGTTATGATAAGTAGTCTAACTCTGAATATATGATTTAAAAGTTGAGCCAACAGAATCTATATATTTTAGGATGCTGATACTTTTAAGACATTGTTCAATAAAGCTATTCTGTTAGCAGTGGCTTCATAGGTGACCCTTAGAATAATTCAGAATGAAGCGCTGAACTTTAAAAATTTTAGAATGAGAAGAAAGAGATAAATGTTGAACATTACAAATGAATAAACATGGGATGTTAGTGACTAAAAATGCACAGAGAGAGGAAAAAGGAAGATATAAGTAAACGGAAGAGTGAGAATAAAGAAGGAAGAGCAAACCAAATAGCCTTTAAAATTTTTCTTTCAAATACGTACGATAACAACCACGAAGTCTAGCTTGTACCAGCCACTACTGAAATAGGCTTTAAGACCATATGCCATCCACTTTAGAAGCATTTCCAGAACGAAGACATAAGTGAATATCATGTCAGCATATTCTAATAAGATCCTAATAGTCTTTCTCTGATCGATATATATATCTTCAAAAGCCTGTGGGTAAAAAGTTTAAGGATTAGTTTACATTTAATTTCTAAAAAATCTTTTGGGATAAACGGGAATAAAATGCCATCTCTAGCAAGCAGAGGGTGAGCAAAGTTATAGACTGTAGTCTCAAGGGCTGGTTCACTTTGCCTGGATTTAGCCACATAATCCCCAGCTGACATTTTCTGATCCCATGCCTGTAGCAGACCTCGGTAATTGATCCCAGAACTTCTTATGGAGACTGAACTTGGCCTCATAATTGTTCTGAAGAGTGATCCAAAAGGCTCTCTCAAATTGGTTAATGAAACTTAATACAAGAGATGGAAGCTTTAGTCACATCTGACATGGTTCTTATCTCTGACTCCATGTAGCCAACTCACAGATACAGGCCAATTGCTAATAAAGGAGCAGAGATTGAAAAAACAAATGTGTCTTCAGAAACCCACACTTCTATTACAAGAAAAAGTCACAAGCTTGTTCCGCTGCAGAAATAATCAGGCAAACTAGTGGAAACACATGAATACGAAATAAAACTATAATCATTTCTTCAAAGCTTCTCAGTTTTAATAAGTCAACCTTAATTTTACTGTGGAGGATACAAGGTATGGTAATGTCATTCGAAGCAATTTCATAGTGCTTTTATTTTATAAGCACTGAAAAAAGGCAAAAAGGACCAGTAACTTCAGGCAGACTTGTACCAAAGTGCATTCAAGGCCAAAAAGTAAACAAAGATTAAAATAATCTTATGTGAAGAATGGTGTGATTCTTGTAAAACTACTGTTAAACAAAAGTAAATATAAAATAACAATAGAGTTACTGACTTTTAATTGAACCAGTTATGGACTAAAAGTATATATGAGCAAAATATATAAATATATAAAAAATATATAAATATATATATAATATAATAAATATATATATTTTATATATAATAATAAATATTATATATAAATATATAAATAATATATATAATAAAATATATATTATATATATAAAATATATAAAATTATAAATAACGTCTGGAGTTATTTTAAAGGACTTTATTTTATTATATGTATTTATTTATGGAATAGGTACATAATGCAAAATAAAACAAAAGATACACAAAAGTCTCCACTTTAGTTAAAGAAATTTTAAAATTGGGCAAAACTAATCTATGGCAGTCGAAGTCCACAGTCTGTTTACCCACATGGAGTGTGGAAGTAACTGTGAGCGGGCAGAGTGTGTTTCTGGAGTCCTGGTAATATTCTATTTCTCGGGCCAAGTGACAGTTACACTGGTGCATTCACCTTGTGAAGATCCTTTATGCGATACACTTACGATTTGTATGGTTTTCAGTATGTGTGCTAAATGTCAACATAAAACTTACTTCAAAAAATATATGCAGTGCAAAGTCTAGCTCCCAACCATGACTCCATCTTCTCTGTTCTGTGCATCTCACAATTAACTATTTCTTGTGTATCCTTCTCTGATCTTCTTCACTCAGAGACAAGCAAATAATATACAACCTGTTTTTCTTCTTTTCCTACATAAAATGTAGCATGCCATACATTTTATTCTAGATCTTTGGTTTTTTCACTAATTACATTTCTTGCAATATCAATATGCTTACAGCTTCTGTATTTTTTAAATAGCTGCTCAATATCCTGTTGGGTGATTGTACCATCAGATATTTAAATAGTCACCTAATGTAGACTATTTTTGCTTTTCAGTCTTGTACTATTCCAAAAAATTCTTCAGTGAATAGCTGTGTAAATGCATTTAATACATGTTCAGATATTTGTGGGATACTTTCCCAGAATAAGATTGTTGGGTCAATGGGTAAATATATTTGTAGTTCAAAAGTCCTTAAAAATATATGCAACACTTCTCTTTCTTATTGAATACCAAAGTATTACACAATACAACAGTTTTGTATGTGCCTATTATTAAACTTTGTTTCATACATGAAACATCATTAAAATAAGAAGAATTAGGTATCTATTAACATTCTTTTTTCCCACTGTCATTCATATATTTTGAAATTGTATTATTTATTTGATAGTGAATGAGGCATATGCAGACTTTTAAGAAACTGTATTATATGTCTTCCAAAACTAAAATCACAGAAATATGGATTTTGGTGTTATAATAAGTATTCTGAAGAAATCTAATTTGGCACAGTGACTTATGAATTAACAGGTTTTGGGTGCATTTTCTCCCATAAAAGTTGCACAGACTCTCACTTACCAGAGCACCTGTGCTGAGCAGAGTGACAAAGCCAATGAAACATTGAAAAAAACTGTTTTCTACTATCTTGCAGCAGGTTTGCCTTATGTTCTGCCAAATTTTCCCTTTCTTGGATTCTCTGCTGATTTGACCAGATGAAGATCTTCGTCCATAACCTGTCAAGAATGAAGCTATTAAGAACAAACATCTTGAAAACTCACAAAGAAGTAAACATCTCAAACTTTCTACCATATGCTTTTGTAATTATTTATTTATAGAATCTAATATAGGTGGTCTCTGACTTATAAACTTTTGACTTTTACCCCTGCTGTAATGACCACTGCCATTACAGAGGAAGAAAAGAAAAACTTAACTAGTGAGTTTGGTAATAGTAGGAGGAAACAAATTGTGAAAGGTAGAGATGACTTAGAACATCCACTAACCCTGTGTCTGAGAGTAGAATTTATGCCCTACTCTTACAAAAAAAATACACACACATACAACATCCTCTGAATATCACATTTTGGTATAATGCCTGAAAACTCATTCTCTGAAGATTCGTATGGCATAATCAGCATTCCCATTTAAATACACAAATATTTATGAAATGTTAAGAGGTTTAATATCAGGTAAGTCAATTAAGTTGATTTCAGTTCTTAGGTGGCATGGGAATGGGAATTTTGACTGAGGCTATTTAAGGAGCTAACCTGGATTCTGGAGCACTTTGTGGGTACAGTACATTTGCATGGGGTTGCACTCTACCTTCTGGTCAAGAGAATTAATATAAGGAAAACCAGAGGCGTGAAAAGAGAGTGACTAACAGGTGAGAAAATGAATAAATGGAGATGGGTGGAGTTTAAAGTCAATACATTTCATTTTAGAATTTTACCTAGTGTCTTTGACCAAATTTATACATCTTTGACCAAAAAAATTAGGAAATATTGCTTCCCTTGCCTTGGATGTTACAAGTCCTAAAACTCAAGCTACTGAGAGCAGATTCTTATTTTGAATACAGGAATTTGAGCATTTAACAATAACCATTTTGATGATTTCCAGTGATTTCAAATGTCTAGAACCTGTAGCCATTTGTTAATCTTGCTTGGAAACTCACTGAATTATGTCATCAAGAGGTATATGTTACATATCCAGTGAGTCAGTCAACTGACTGAAGCCTTATACTTTCTTTTTTCCCAACCATTCAGTTTTATTAGTTAAAATATATTAAGTCACACAGAGTCTAAATAAAGCATTTCAAAATCCACTGTATGATCCTTGGTCAAAACACAGATTATAAACATTCAAGAAGCATTCTTGTTCTTCTGATATAATGATCTGAAAGTTGTCCTTTCTTTGATTTCCAAGGTGGAGCCATTTTATATTCATGTGGAATATAAAAAGAATCACCATTACATGATTTGTTTTCCTATGAAAGTCATAGGATGTTTTCACGTGAGTATTTTAAATATTGACTCCAGTCTATGAGGCCTAAAAATATATACTGGCACACATATACACTAATCTTTTTAAAAATCCTGTGAGGTAAGTTTTATTATCTCCTCATTTTATACATTAGGAAATGAGTCAGAAAGAGAGTAGGTAAAAGCTAGTGAATGCTGGACTGGGATTTGAATTCAGGCTGTGTGAGTCCAGAGCCAACATCCTTACCTACAGCAGTAGACTCACTAATAGGCCTTTTCCAAATGTTGACTTTTTTCTTGACATTTATTATAAGTTTCTATCAGGATTCATATGGGCATGTGCACGTGTGAACACACTCACATGTTTGTGTGTGTGTATTCCTCAGTCAAGCTAATAAATTCTCTAAAATTAAAAGTATCTCCAATAGCATTATTTAGCTTAAGAGCAATTTAGTCTAGGGTCTGGCCCTGTGGCCGAGTGGTTAAGTTCACACGCTCTGCTGCAGGCGGCCCAGTGTTTCGTTGGTTCGAACCCTGGGTGTGGACATGGCACTGCTCATCAAGCCATGCTGAGGCAGCGTCCCACATGCCACAACTAGAAGGACCCACAACTAAGAATATACAACTATGTACCGGGGGGCTTTGGGGAGAAAAAGGAAAAAAATAAAATCTTTAAAAAAAACCCCAAAAACTGTCCTACTGAATCTCACAGCAAAAAAAAAAAAAAAAAGAGAGCAATTTAGTCTAATTTCAATGATCAAAGGAACTTATTATTTTCTTACCATTTTTAAGATGCTTTGGTTTTTCACGTTCATAGACCATTTCTTCTTCTTCAGAGATAGCAATATCAACTGTACTGCATTCAGATGAGCTAGATTGCTTCACCTTCTGAAAAGTCAAGTGCCACCAAAAATATGATGATTAAAGTTTCATTTACTCACTGAAGTTAAAGTTTATTTTACAGAAAGACTATTATCAGGTTTAAAAGACTTTAGGTCAATTTCATGACTGATATTAAAATGCATACATATCTTTGAGTCGGTTTTAGAAATTACTTTTAAAAGTTAATTTAAGCTAAAATAATTTTTATTTTAAAAGTAACATTTAGTTAATAACACTGTTCTCCTAAAAGATGTGTAGGCTAGCTCCACTTTCCAAAGGGATTTGAGCTCCAAAGCTGTCTTGAAGTTATTTACAAGGTTCCCATATATGCTATTTCACTTAGGTGAGTAGCATCAGAATAGATCACCTCTTGTTGCTAAAGATGGACAGACAAGTGTGCACTTAGTTTTCATCTTAAAATTCAGTCTAGGCATTCTTGTGCATGTCATCATTGGACAGGATTGATGTGAGGTTATCCTGAAGTGAAGTGAAGGAATGACACAAGGAATAGGGTCAAGACTAGAACTTGGAAAGTGATACCAGCCCTACAGAAAGAGGCTAGTTCCAGGATTGATGTTCTTTCCCACTCTGCTCTTGACTGAAGTTCAAGACTGGCTAGAACAAGGTACTCATGATTTGCACATGTGATAATACTGAAAGTCACACATTTGACCTTTACTTGAAATGATTTTCTCATAATGCTTTATTTTGCCTTATTTAAAAATGAATATGCAATATATTATCCTTTAAAATGAACAGTATCCTAAAGTTAACAGCATATAAAATTCTTTCTTTTTTTTTCTGAGAAAGATTTGCCCTGAGCTAACATCCATTGCCAATCTTCCTCTTTTTTTGCTTGAGGAAAATTATCCCTGAACTAACATATGTGCCAATCTTCCTCTATTTTGTATGTGGGTCACCGCCACAGCATGGCTTGAAGAGTGGTGAAGGTCCACGCCTGGGATCCAAACCCTCAAACTTGAGCTGCGGAAGCAGAGTGCATGGAACTTTAACCACTCGGCCAGGGGGAGCCCCCTAAAATTATTTTCTAATTTAAAAAATTATGATGTGTATTATAACATTTAGAAGAAAATCAGTCTTATTCCTTAAAAATTAAGGAAAGATCTAGGTAAAGTAGAGTATATAAAAATGGAAATTATTGAGGCCACCCAGTTGCACACCAGTTAATTGTGCACATTCCACTTCGGTGGCCCGGGGTTCGCTGGTTTGGATCCCAGGTGCAGACATGGCACCACTTGGCACGCCATGCTGTGGTAGGCGTCCCACATATAAAGTAGAGGAAGATGGCATGGATGTTAGCTCTGGGCCAGTCTTCCTCAGAAAAAAGAGGAGGATTGGCAGCAGTTAGCTCAGGGTTAATCTTCCTCAAAAAGAAAAAGGAAATTATAAATATTTTGTCATACCTCTTGGTCTTATGCACAACAAGTGTCAAGGAAATGTAATTAGGAAGCTTTGTTTGCTTTAGACCTTCCACAGTCAATTGTCAGTAAGACGTTATGGTGCTCAATTGAAAAAATATATATCCAGCAGGTTATTACTCTTAAATAAATGAATCATTTTTATTATTTCAATCCTCTTATATTTTCTTTATTTCTGATGAAATAAGGGCTATAGTGATGCACTGATTTGGGAGTAGACAATAAATAAGTGAATATTATATAATACTTGGGCATTCAATAATTGAAAATTATAGACCTTATAGTCATATGCCTTTTTAGAGTTTTTAAAATCCCTTCACATAAACTCTTTGATGTGAGTTTTTCAAGCCCCTTTTAGTGTGTATTATTGTAAATTTGCAAATAAATCAACTAAGATTCAAAATTTTAAATAATTTATTTTAGTAGAAGATCACTTAATGGCATGAGAAAGTGACTATGATATATTGCTACATTATGAAAAAAGTTACAAAACCAAACATAAAGTTTGATGTGATTTTTATAAAATTTATATAGTTACAGATTTGTAATAAAAAAAGGGTGAAAGTTTAAATACCAAGAGTACGTATCTCTGAATTATCAGATGACATGTGATTTTTATATTATTTTCTTTGGTTTTGGGCATATCAACATCCTTAGTACTCATGGGCTATGTAATCTGGAAAGTACCTAATTAAATTAAATATGTAACTAAATATACAAATAAGTGAACACATCTTCTGTGAGTAGTCAACCAATCAACAGGACCAAATAATTATGCAGCAAGCATAAATTACAACTTCTAAAACCTCAACATTTACAATTATATTTAGTTCTATTTTTCCTATATATTTCCATATCTCAGACTTTCTAACGAGATTGGCGAGAAGTTTTCCAGCACATCTCGACATGATGTACTGTGATAAATAGCAATTTTATCCAGAAATGGATGGTAGATGGTAGTCAAAGTTTTAAGTGAAAATATAGAAGTGTGCTGGAGAGGAATTTTCCCCTACTTTCTAATAATGGTATTAATGAGAGGAAAACGAACTTGAGAATATTATGCTTGCTAAGGAGTGAAAGTGTTTCTCTAAAACAAAGATGTCTTCACTAGGAGCTAGAAGGACTTTGAACAATTGAAACAACTCCTGTTAGAAGGCCAATTTGAGAAGTTACTGCAGAGAGCAGCTGCCAAGAGGAAAGACATCTGGGAGCCAAGATGGTGCCCGAGACTTTGGGGACCCGGCAAGAGACATTCTCTGTCCCTCCCCAGTGCCTGAGAGAGATCTGAGATGATTCCTGGTGAGGTCCCATTCAAGAAGCCCACGGTGCAGATGTGATCCCTGTAGATGTAGCCTTCTATTAAATTACACCTTCGACTAAGACATTATGCTGCTTGCAAATGAAGGCAATAAGACTGTATCCAGTAGGGAGCACATTTTAGAAGCTAAGTGAATAGCAGTATCTACCCTTCTTTGAATGTGTCCTTTTTTTTCGTCCAAGAGTTTATAAAGCTACAAACTATTCACAGCTCAAACTGGTGGTTTTCCTTTATTATTTTAGTCCAACTTAATTATGTAGGTTATAACATATGTTGCAGAAATGAACTGACAAGAATCTTAGAATTTTAGCAAGCAAGAAAGTATCTTAGCATTCTTCTAGCCCAATCTCACATATTAAAGGTGATAAAGCCCAGAAAAGTTTAGTGATTTCTCCAATAATACACATTAATTTTGAAATCTTGGGTTTCTTCAGTATGTTTTCCATCATCCCACACTGCCTACTTCTTAATTTATAAAATTTTATAATTATATTATCTAATGTTTACTAAGTGTTCACTGTATTCTAGGCATTGCTCAATGCACTATTGAACTATTTTTTTTAATCCTTCCATCCTCCCTAAGAAATAGATACAATTTTATGTATAGACAAGGAAACTGAAGCTTAGAAAGTTTAAGTAACTTGATCAGGAGCATAGAATCAGGAGCAAGGAGTGCTATAGCTAGGATTGAATGAGTAATCTTACCTGGAACTTTAGCACCAAGTCACTTTCTTATCAACAATGCCGTAAATAACAATAAGCAATCAGGATATTGAAACATCTTACCTCTTTGCTGCTTCCATCACCTGACTTGCTCTGTATCTCCTTATTATCCAGATTTTCTATATCAGATTCTCCTGAAGCAATTGGTACAGTTTCTGAGACAGTAGGACTGGGGATAAGTGACTGACTCTCATTTTCCGTCAGTGTGTTTTTCTCTGTGCCACTGCTTTTTTCCTTATCCTTGAGGAAATCTTGGGTGTTGCTCAATTCAGAAAGAGTATGGTCAGAAATATTCTCTTTAACATATATATCATTTACATTGTCCACAGTCTCCTTTATAACATTCTGTTTTTTGCATAGTATTCTAGAAAGCAAATAGTTTATTCCTTTCTTAATCCTTGCCACTGCATGCTGGAGATTTTTTGCTTCATTGTTCTCTTCAGTTGTTGCAGCCTTGTATGAACTAAATGAGCTCACCAATGCCAGAAACAGGTAAAGTATCTAAACGAGGATGCAAATGAGGTTAAATGTATTTCATTTTTTGTTTCCTTTTAAACAATTAAAAAACCTTTTAAAAAAGCTGACCTGAGATTTGAAAGCAGCATATGAACTACAATATTATTTAGGCCATTCAGTTTCTACTCATCTACAATGGGTCAGATGCTGAGCTAGGAGTTTGTATAGCCAGAACTCATCTTAAGGTCACAACATTCTATACAATATCATTTGTTTCTCTTTTACAGATGAAAAAGGCAAGGCTTACAGATGCCAAAGATTAAAGGTCACACAGGTTGAACTCGTCTGTCTTATTCCAAAGCTTTTTTTTCCCCACTGAGTCAGGCTGCCTCTGCCAAGGTGAGAAAATGAATTGCTCGTCCAGGTGGCTAACTTTACTTTAGCCCTACCCTAGGAAGATGCGTGATGACTGGCATCTCCATGGGTTCTGCAAAGCCATGAGGAATCTCATGGGGAGAGAGCCATGCCTGGCTCTGAAGCTCACATCTAATTTGCTTTATGACACACAAGGACAGGGGTTGGGTAGGTTAATTGATTCTCTGTGGTAATAAATTTGGTCAACTAAGAAAGAGATAAGTGATGGAAGAATCATTCCTAACATTTTCAAGTTACTTTGAACTCAAAGAGAGTGTATATTTTGACCTTTACTATCACTGAGAAATATGATCAAGGCACGTTCAGTTTCAGAGAATCAGATTTTTATCTTGTTGGTAATTATAAGGTATAGATTTTAATTTTGGACTCTAGTGTAGAAGATTCATGTGGATTACTCTCTTAGACTTAAAATAATAATTTGAGCATTTTGCCTAGTCTGGCAGGTTTTCCCCTCTCTTCAGATATTTGGGCTTTCTTTTTTTTGAAGAAGAAGATTAGCCCTGAGCTAACATTGGCCACCAATCCTCCTCTTTTTGCTGAGGAAGATTGGCTCTGAGCTAACATCCATGCCCATCTTCCTCTACTTTATATGTGAGACACCTGCCACAGCAAGGCTTGACAAGCAGTGCCTAGGTCCACATCTGGGATATGAACCAGTAAACTTTGGGCCGCTGAAGCGGAGTGCGTGAGCTTAACCAGTATGCCACCGGGCCGACCCCCAGCTATTTGAGTTCTCAAAGATCTAATTTACTTTATGCTTTACATATTGGCTCAAAGAGAAAAATTCAAATGGCATACATTATGTTTAAGAATATGTATATAACTTCCATAACTAACATTTTCCTGCCTATGTTTCTGATTTCTTCACATATTAAGATCTACTCTTAAAAATCATTATACTGACAATGTATATGCACATAAAATAAAATAAGTATATGAAGATCTCTAAACACTCATTTCTTAAAATTTCTTTCAGAATTTTGGGTCTATGTGAAGAGATTAAGTTCTCAAACTCTCTGATAATCACTGTCTTTCTCATGCACATAAACACCTAAAATAATATGAAGTGCCACCAAATAATGTTCAATTCTAATGGAGTACTTTTACTTGTCTATACTTAGGTCTTTATATCTCTTAGGAATAGATAAAACTCAAATAAGACTTAATCATATGGAAAAATCAAAATTATTGCAGATAATGAAGTCATCGAATAGATAATCATAACCATATTTTTGCTGTAGCAATAAAATGCAGGGTTCAAGATGGCTCAACACTGGAAATTTCTACAAGTGAGATTATCTGAACAACTGACATATATTTTTCATAACCTACAATGACAGCATCTCAAAGGATAAAAAATAAAAACTGAAAAGACAATGATCAGGTGCCAAGACCCTCAGAGATTAGTTTGATTATTCTTTTACTAGTGTCTCATTTTAACAATAAGGTTTACTTACAGATAATCTAGGCAGGGGCTCCACAGCCCTTGTGAGAACTACACTATCAGCATCTCTATCATTATCAAAGGACAATGAGTTCAAGATGTAAAAGGGCAAGACCAGATATAATTTAAGGTAGTTGGTTGTTTCTTTTCCCTCCTTTGTTTGGTTAAGTATTAGGCATGGTGAGAAATAAGAAAAGGTGTTAGTTAAGAATTTCATGACTATGAGCTTCATATGAGCAGGAACCATGTTTTCTCTTAAGTGGATAACTAGCACAGTGCTAGGCACAAAGTAGGTGATAAATAAGTATTTGTTGAAAAACTTAATTGTAGAATGAATGGAAGAATAGGTTTTGTGTCAGGATTTGGACAATGAAAATTTATGGTAAACAATTGTAGTTTTAAGAGCTTACAATCTAAGATTTCTTATATCTTAGATATATGTACACCCCTTCCTCACACACATATACATGCATACATACCTATAGAGTAAGAATATATACTATGAATGCTATATAGTAAGAATATATATTATATATACAAATATATGTATATTTATATAATGAGAATGTTAAAAGGCTGAAAATAAAGTGCTAAATGCTCTGGAAATGTGATATAAAGAAAGAACTTTATAACACTATAAAATGCTACTGCTTTGTTCAAGTGTGCTCTGAATTAAAAATAGCGACCAAATAATGCCAGGATGTGAAAGAACAAAACTCCCACTAGCAATATCAAACACTATATTAAATCTCCAGACCAGAGAGAAAATGACAAGTACCCAGAAATCAGTCCTGAGGAGACAGAAATATGTAATCTAAATGACAAAGAATTCAAAATAGCTATCTAAATGACAAAGAATTCAAAAAACTCAACAAGTTAAAAGAGAATGTAGAGAAACAATTCAATGAGTTGAGGAGCTACTTCACAAAAGAGACTGAACTATAAAGAGGAATCAATCAGAAATATTAGAGATGAAAGACACAATGGAAGAAATAAAATATGGATTCCCTGAATGCTTGAGTGGACACATCATGGAGGAGTGTATCAGCATAATTGAAGACAGACAAGTTGAAATGCTCCAGATAGAGAAGAGAGAACTAAGACTAAAAAGAAATGAAGAAAGCCTCCAAGAAATATCCGACTCAATTAAGAAACGCAACATAAGAATTATAGGTATTCAAGAAGGAGAAGAGGAGAAAGGAGCAGAAAGCCTGTTCAAAGAATTAACAGCAGAGAACTTTCCAAACCTAGGGAAGGAGATGGAAATCCATGTGGAAGAGACTATCAAATCTCCTAAATATGTCAATGTGAAAAGACCTAAGGCAAGGCATATAGTAGTGAAACTGGTAAAAGTGAATGACAAAGAGAGAATACTAAGGGCAGCAAGGCCAGAGAAAATAACCTACAAAGGAACCCCTATCAGGTTTTCAGTGGATTTCTCTGCACAAACCCTAGAGGCTAGGAATGGAATGACATATTCAAATCTTTGACGAACAAAAACTTTCAGCCAAGAATACTCTATCCAGCGAAAATACCCTTCAGATATGATGGAGAAATAAAATCTTTCCCAGACAAACAAAAGATAAGGGAGTTCATAGCCACGAGACCCAACCCCCCACAAGAAATCCTCATGCAGGCCCTCATACCTGAAAAAAAAAGGGAAGAAAGGGGTTACAAAGCATGGAGTAAGGAGTTAAATACGTAGATAGAATCAGAACAGGTTAGCAAATACTCAAGTATAACATTAAAGATAAAGGAAAGGAAAACACAAAAACCAAAGATAATCTTGTCATTTTAACCACAAACTCATAACATAAGATGGAATAAGATGTGACAAAAATAACTTAGGAGGGGAAGAGGAAAGGGACTGAATCAATTTAGACTAAGGAAATCAGAGGCCATCAGAAAATGGACTACCTTATCCACGAGATTTTGAATACAAATCTCTTGGTAACCACTGAACAAAAGATCAGAACAGAGAACAAAATAATAAATAAGGAAAAAACAAAGAACACATCACAAAAAATTACATAATCCAACTGGTAGACCAAAATACACAGGCCAAGAAACAAAGTAAATGTGGGAGAACCAGAAAACGAATGATAAAATGGCAGCATCAAGCCCTCATATATCAATAATCACCCTAAATGTAAATGGATTGAATTCTCCAATAAAAAGACATGGAGTGACGAGATGGATTAAAGAATACTCAACAATATGCTGCCTCCAGGAAACACATCTCAGCTCCAATGACAAACAGAGGCTCAGAGTGAAGGGATGGAAGATGATACTCCAAGCTAATGGCAAACAAAAGAAAGCAGGTTTTGCAACACTTATATCAGATAAAGTAGACTTCAAGATAAGACAGGTAAAGAGAGACAAAGAGGGGCAGTATATAATGATCAAAGGGAAACTCCATCAAGAAGAAATAACACATAAATATCTATGCACCAAACACAGGAGCACCAAAATACATAAAGCAACTATTAACAAACCTAAAAGGAGATATCAATGACAACACAATAATAGTCAGGGACCTCAACACCCAACTTAAATCAATGGATAGATCATCCAGACAAAATGTTAACAAGGAGATAGTGGACTTAAATGAAAACCTAGACCAGTTGAACTTAATGGATATATATAGAGCACTCCATCCCAAAACAGCAGAATACACATTTTTCTCAAGTGTGCATGGAACATTCTCAAGGATAGACTATATGTTGGGAAACAAGGCAAGCCTCAATAAATTTAAGAAGATTGGCATAATAACAAGCATCTTTTCTGATCACAATGCTATAAAGCTAGAAATTAGTTACAAGAAAAAAGCTGAGAAAGGGACAAACACGTGGAGACTAAACAACATGCTATTGAACAAACAATGGATAATTGAAGGCATTAAAGGAGAAATAAAAAAATCTGGAGAAAAATGAAAATGAAAACATACCATACCAACTCATATGGAATGCAGCAAAAGTCATATTAAGAGGGAAATTCATCACAATGCAGGGTTACCTTAACAAACAAGAAAGATCCCAAATAAGTAATCTCAAACTAAGAGAATTAGAAAAAGAAGAACAAACAAAGCCCAAAGTCAGCAGAAGGAGAGAAATAACAAAAATCTGAGGAGAAATAAATGCTATCGAAATAAAAAAGGCAGTAGAAA